ATTTTTTTTATTTTTAAGCCTCCAATTTTATATAAATATTCTTCCGGTTTGGAATAAAAGAAACATTCTATTTGAAATGGAAACTTAAGAATATTTTGTAAAGTAGGGTATAGGTAACCTGTGTAAGCTAGCACACACACACACACACACACACACACACACACACACACACACACACACACACACACACACTGACATACTTTCTATCTCTTTTTATGTGAAGATTCCAAGGTTTTCAAAAGCTATGCTGTAATTAGTGTCCACATATGCACACACCATGTGGGGAAAGTTTCAAAAGAGATAACCTTATCTTCTCAGTGATTTTTTTTTCCTGTTATAGAAGCTGGCACAGATGCCTCACACAAGAATGGCAAGAACTGCAGGGGGTTGAATGGGAAGTCAGATTGAAGCAGTACCCCCTGCCAAATATGATTGTATATAACCTCCTAAACAAGAAGACACTGAGACAAAATGTCACTGGCTTGATTCATTTACAAATGGAGCAAACATAAACAGGGAAATCTAATGCTCTGATTTTCCTAATTAACTCAGATGATTCATGGTGTGTTAATAACTAAGATCTCCACTCTTCCATCAAGCAGATGGGCAGAGCTTGATTCTTGAAAATTCATCTGACAATTAAGATGCACAGCAGTCCTCTGAGAAACCCAACTTACAAAGTACCATGACACAAATACTGCAATTTTTTTTAAACTGAATGAATCTAAGCTTTTTATGAAAGCTCCACAAGAGGAAAATATGAGAACTGAAATGTTTCCATGTGGGCTTTCCAAAAGCAAAAACAGAAGCATTAATGCCCATTTGTTAAAAACTTTTCCCCTAATGATTGATGTAACTGATAATAATCAGTTTCTTGAATGGAGGTTATTGGGATCTTGGAAGTTTACTGTTTCAACTTTCATTTGCCCATATCTTTCTCTGCCAGGCATGAACCACTAGGCCGTGTCAAAGAAGAATCTGAATATTGAGTATGGGCTTCACATATACTTTTCCTCGCTTTAGTAGACCAGTAGAAGCCCTTTCTGCCAGTCTTTCAAATTCTAGGCTTTGCTTGAAAGGAACATGTGCCTGAAGCCAACATACCAGTTTTTGGGGGGAGCTGGGAGTGAAAGATCCCCTTTTGTATCTTCACAACGAACACATTTATGGAGAATATAAAAGGGCCAGGCTTGACATTTCCCAGCTTGTTGTCTATTTAATTTTCCATCTGCTTCTTTTGCCACTGCCTTCCAAAGGAACATCTGCTGCGTATCTGAGAGAAGGAAAGGGGAGGTTGGATCTGTGCCCATCTGGGTCTGCCATCCCCGAGCTTGGGATCCAGAGTAAAGGAAGAGAAGACGACGAACAAATGGTCCAGAATACAAAAGGAAGACACACAGTCTGCTAAGAGTAAAGCTGTATTTCCCTTTATTGCCGAACCACATGACTAGGGGAGCTGGGCAGCAGTGTCTACAAACTAATCTAGAAGCAAGGTGTCAGTGGTGACTGAGCCTCAAGAGCAACTCCCAGGGCTCAGGGCTCCCCCTCCTGCACCTTCCTCAAGTGTTCTAACCATTTATGGGCAGCAGCTGTCAGCCAGGCTTTGTTTGGGATATTTGGAGGTAAAAATATAAGACATGACCTGTTAAGATAATATAATAATAAAATAGAAAATAACTAATTAAAAACATAAGCTAAATTGAGGGAATGGGTCACCTAAGTGAATATAGAATAAAATGACAAATTATTTACCCTAGCTAGGGAAAAGATGTTACGGGAACACTCAAAAGGGGAGAGATTTATGCCCTATGCTGTGAGGATAAATGGTGGTTCAAGGGGAGGAGAGGCTGTGCATGCAGATGCCAGGAACAGAGCCAGGAACAACAAGTAGAAATATCAGAAATCAAGTTCTTTTTCCCCCTTCATCACCAAGAGGCAATAATTCACAAGGATACAAGCTGACCTATTGTAACAATGACATGTACAAGACACTATGTTGAAAATGAACTTTACAACTTGCAGGGGGAGGGGGAGTTGTGGAGGGAAGGGGTGGTAGGGGGAAAACAAAGGAGGAGGTAACAATGCTCTATAGGAAATGTACTCATTACCTTACTCATGTAACTGTAATCCCTCTGAATATTATTTTTACAAAAAAATTTTAAAAATCCCTTCATATCTGACTCAAAAATAAATTCCCCAGAACCTGATCTCACCTATTACCTCTCAATGTGAAGGTATCAATATTTCTATGGAATATATCAATTCAACTAATTGTGGTATTGCTTAACTGCAGACAGTCTAGTGGGGATTACAAACTTTCATCAAAGGAAAGTAGAAGAGAGCACAAAATAACTTTCCAAAAGGCCAATGATGGATCAATAATGAAATAGCTAGTGATCTGATTTTTTTAACTTTCCTTAAATATCAGTTGAAATTTTATCAGAATAGAATAGAATACCAGCAATATCTTATAGAATACTAGCAATACAACAAATTCTCTTTCTTAAATGATCCTAATGTTTTGAACCCAGGGCTTCAGCTGTTAATCAAACAAACTCCAGTTTTTTTTATGCTCTGATTATTGTTCAGATAGGTTCTCACTTTTTGCCTGTGTCAACCTGGAATATAATCCAACCATGCTTCAATAATAACTGGGATGGCATGAACATGCTGTGTACTCAACTACTGGTTGAGGTGGAGTCTTCTGAACTTTTTGCCTGGGTTAGCCTTGAACCATAACCTTCTAGATGTCTACCTCCTAAGTAGCTAGGATTACAGGTGCAAGCAATCAGTGCCAAGGAACAATGCTATATATATAATATATATATTATAAATATATATATATATACACACACACATTGTGTGTGTGTGTGTGTGTGTGTGTGTGTGTGAGAGAGAGAGAGAGAGAGAGAGAGAGAGAGAGAGAGTTTTAGGGCTTGAACTCTGGGCCTGGGCACTGGCCCTGAGCTCTTTAGCTCAAGGCTAGTGCTCTATCACTTGAGCCACAGCGCCACTTCTGGTTTTCTGGTGGTTTATTGGAATTAAGAGTCTCACAGACTTTCCTGCCCCAGCTGGCTTTGAACCACGATCCTCAGATCTTAGCCTCCTGAGTAGCTAGGATTACAGGTGTGAGCCACCTGTGCCTGGCACAATATATTCTTAATTCTGCAAATTAGTCAGGTATTGAATGAGTATCTACTCTGGGACCTTGAAGGATATAAATATAAGATTTGACCTTTCTGTTTAAGAGACCAAAATTTACAATGACTGACTTTTAAATTGGCTTTTAAGAAAACTACTTTCTCTAGCTCTGATGTGACAATGACAAATATTTAACATTTGAAAAAAATAAATGTTTTGAGAAAAGAATAAGGCCAGCATGCCATTTCATTGCTCAATGAATGTACATGTCTTTAACTTTTCATTGCTGTCTACAAACAGGTATAAAGCATCCTGTCATTTGCTTTGAATTAGTCATAGTGTATACTGAGATGCAAATGTAGCTGGCATATTCTCTGACTGTGTAATTATGTTTTGTCTTCATCTTAATAAATTTTATTTTAAAAATATGAGTTGGCAAAATGGAAATAACTGTAGAGATGAAATCAAACACAGCATTTGCCCACCAACATATTTGCTTTCCATCTGAAGAAAAAAAATTCCTTGTTTTCAAAAAACACATGGAGAAATAAATTTTTGAAGTTTTTATTGCCAAGATATTGCAAACCATGAGATCAAAGTATTGTGGAAAACACGCAGAAGGGAATTTTTAAATTTGATTTAGCTTATCCAAAATCCTTATGATTGTTTGAAAATATAATGCTTCATGTTACAGTTACTTTCTTAAGTTTAAAGATAATTTTAAATTTTCATATCAGTCTATTAGATATGGTAGATTAGAAAGTTTCTTATATTGTCCTGAACTAAAGAGATTGAGTGGCTTAGCCTGATTTATAAGTGAAAAAAGCACGACTCAGAAAGATTAAGTAATTAAATCTGTGTGCTTGGGTTGGCAACCATGTCCCAAGTCTCCTAGCACATTGTGACACATGAAAATACCTTGTCAAACTCATTCCTTTCACTTTTGAATTTTCAACCAAGAAAAAGAATCTTTTGTTTAAGGACACAACCAAAGAAAATTTTTCCTTGGCTGAGCTTGAATATATAATTCCCAACAAAGACTATCCAATTAGATTCATCTGGCTGGTCAGATGACCTAAAAAAGTAGTTTCAGTACCATTTCATTCTGGCTCTTTTCCTTGATCTCCACGATAGTTCAGGATGGCAGATAGTACCATCCACAGCTTACCCCACCTGCCTAGAAGAACTTGGCAAGTACAACTATTAAATCTACGAGGATCTCGGTGAAGACCTAGGGCTATTGAAATGAATGACATTTCCTTGCTGAGATGTGCTAAACATTAGACCTTTAGGTAAAGTTACTGAGAGAGGAGGGACATGAGCTGATTTCGGAAGCTGATTCAATATTCTAAGCCTAACATTTTCTGAATTTTAAAAGAACTAACTATGCATAATTTTCTCCAGCTTCAACATAATAGAGGATCAAGCATAATAAATAAGTCAAGAGGGAATTAAGCCAATAGTTGAAACGTGATTGCTTTTTTGTTGATAATAATAGAAAAAAACGTATCATGCCTGTCCATGAAACAAACAGAAGAAACAAAGTCACGTTTCAGTCCTTTACATCCAGCTATTTGTTTCTTTTTTGTTTTTGACAGATAGCGATTCCATAATTCTCCTACTTTCTGGGTTTTTTTTCCTAATCTGAGACAAATGCAGTGAGAAATGATATATTCTAACTATTTCTGCAATTCTTTCCCTCAACTTCTGGTAGTTGGAGAGAGCTCTACCACACATCTTTTCTCCTCACTCTCCCTTTCTAGGTTTAGTCTGAGATTGGAGAGTCCATGGGGGGGAAATCTGTTCCTAGATATATTTCTCTATTATACTTCTAACTGTATTTGTTTTGTCACTTTTAGGACTATCAAGAAGCCTCCAATTTGGAACAATTTGTCACTCGCTTTTTACTGAAGGAGACCTTGAATCAGCTACAGTCTCTGCAGAATTCCCTGGAATGTGCTATGGAAACTACAGAGGAGCAAACCCGTCAAGAAAGGCAACTGATGCTTTCATACATTTCTATTTTCATAGCAAATTAGTTAAAGGACCTGGTACATGAACTAGTGAAAACAAAAAGTGAAAACTAACAGATAAAAAGAAAATGTCAGGGGATTCCACTAAAAATAATCCACCTCACTTTTTTTCTTATGGTTACTTTAATTTTCACTAAACTTTAATGAAGAATTTAGTAGGTGAAGTGTTTAAAAGACAGTATTAGTTAAGTAACTTGACAACATGAGGCCAAGAAAACATGAGGCCAAATTCAAACCACAGTGACACCAAAAAAAATTAAGCTTTAAAAATACTAGATTGATTATATTAATATACATTTAACATGATGCTAATCCTTAAAGAGGCTAATGTGTATTTTATAAATAAAACATGGACACTAAAACTATATTGCAATATCCCAAAGGACAAATATCCTGGAGAAAGGGGAACAATTTCCAATGGATTTCAGAAGAGTGAAAGATTAACTGTGGCTAGAAGGCGGAATCCACCTTGCGGTATTTCTCTATGATACCTGTGCTTCTCCTACAACTGCACATAATTAGAAAGTGCAGAAATGAGATGACAAAGTATCTTATGGCCAAGCGCATGTACACATATTGGGGAGACTTGATAATTTAATAAGCCTACTTATTTGAAGGAGAAAGGTGAATTATGGGAAAGATTTCAAAATTCAATAACAAATATGTCTAACTACAAAGAAAAGTAGTGAGAGTTATTTAAATAAAGGCATGAAGTAATATTATGAATATGTGCATTGTATTGCCAAATAATTCTAACCAACAGATGGCTTATTTTTTAAGTTCTCCTTGTTAATAACCAGCAAGATAAAGAAGAGCCTGGCAGAGCTATTGCTCTTATGACATTTTTTGGCTGAGGTGTCCTTTTAGACCTGTAGATGTGTCTTATCTATTCTTTTTGCATCTTAAACTATAAAAAGCACATGATAAGCTTTTTTGAATAAACTGGTAATAGTCTACTCTGTAGGACCATTTTCCTAAACAAATTATTGGATAAATAATTATTAGGACATCTACAAAAACACAGTGGAATTTTCAACCATATGTTTACAGTGTCAAAATGAGAGAGGCACTACCAAGTTTTCACAAAAAAAAGCCTGTAATTTCACAATCTAATGAGTGTGTGCAGCTGATGAACACGGCGATTCGTCCTTCAATGGATCTGTATATCATTCTGCATATTTCAAACTTGGTATTCTCTTTTGTTGGGCAATTCCCTATTACATGGCAAAGTAACAATTAGCTTTAGAAAAACAACAACCCAACTCCTCAGCTTGGAGCAGAAGATACCAGAAATATCTTAGAGCACAATGAAACTGATGTTGATGTTCCTAATGGGAAAATGACACCTCTTTGGCTGTTCTTTTGTTTAGGTTTTCTGAAAATAAAATGAATGCTCCCTTTTCAAAATCAAGCATTTGCCACCTGAGAAGCAGCTCAGAAAAGCCTCTGTTCCCCCTTCTTTACCTGCACTTTGGAGGTTTTTTCTAAAGTCATCTCCTACAAACTTAAGCTATGTATTTGCCACCACAGAGTGAATGAATAATGAATAACTTTTCTTTGTGTTGGGCTACAGGCTAGCCTTGAACTTCTGTGATTGCTGCCAACAGCTGCACAGCAGCTGTGTTTAATGACAAGGAGCACAGTAACACAGAATTCAAGAAAAGTGGAAAACACTAAGAGAATTAATGAACCTTTCACTTCCAGATTTCTAGCTCAAAAACAGCTTGAAGTAATGGAAACTGTTCTAAGTCTAATGCCACTGCAGAGAACCATTTTGTATGAGATTTAACTAAAACATCCAAGGATACCCAAACACCACCCCAATTCGGTGATACTTCTCCCTATTGGTTTCTCAATAAATTTATTAACAAGTAAATAGAAAAAATACCCCTTTGGGTTTGTACCCACACTCTCCACTGGTTCATCTCTGATGAACCAGATTGAAGCATGAATTAGCTCTCATGTGTTCCCTTCCCAGAGCCACACTTCCTATTTACTGGCCACCAAAACCAATATGAGGAGAGAACTAGGCCCTCACTAGCCAAAGAAAATAGAGGAAGGCTGTTCCTTTCCCACAATGTCAACCAAGAGACCAGAGAGAAAAGACTTGTCATGGGCCTTCATGATGAATTTGAGTGATAGAATGACATTCTATTTTAAAGGATGAGTTTCTTTGCCCACGCCATGCTTCCTACCCCTCATTTGCCTCTCTTTTGAGTTTGTTTGGTTACTGGACAAGACATTCCCTAGAAAGCCCTCACTGCTCCCAGGCCTTCCACATCACAACCGAGTGCTCCCACTGCAGTCTTTATCCAAACCTACTCACCTCAGCCTCTCACTTACTCATGTCCCATTAGACTTGGTGCTTAGGAGGAAAAGACTTTTCATTGTTCTCCTCTCTCCTGGGATAATAAGGAAGCCTATCTGTCTAGTATTTAGAATTATAGACAGAAATATAGACTGAGGCACTGGAGATTGCTTCCAGCTTCAATTTCTTTTATTCCATCATCAATTTCTATTGATGATTGCCAACAAAAGAATAATGTAAGGAAACCAAGACATAGGGAAAATTAGTGTAATAATAGTAGGTAGTACAGATCTCAGGAAGAAGAGAACAGGCCAAGGAGGGAGAGGTCAAATCAATGTATCCAAAAACTCATCCATCTTATTATTATAAAGGAAGGTTCCATGATGCTCTACACAGTTGAGTTGTATTCAGTAAAATTCCCCAGGTTTCATCAAAATTCCCCAGGCTGTAATCATCTTGCTTCCCCTTCAATATCAACATTGCTCTGGGGTTTAGTATTTGTAAAATCACAGGGATACAAAGACTCATGGGGACACAGCGAATTTAGAGACATCATCGATTCCATCTACAAGCCTCAGGGAAGATTCACACAGCATCGTTCATCCTGAAATAATGAGCCAGACATGCCCTGTTGGGCAAAATGATGCTGTCCATTCATGTGAAAATGGCAATTTGAGAGAGAGGGGGTTGGACAGCTACAGTGGCACTGAGGTGAGATTTTCAGGTGGAATCTACCTGGCAAATTAACTGAGAGGGAGCTACTTCAATTTCATGTCTTTTGAAAGAACTTAATAACCATTGACAATAATAATCATTATGTGATGCTGAAGTACCCCCTCTAGAGAACCCCTGCCCTCTTCCTCATGAACTACATTTCTGGGAACACAGTTTAATTAGGTGGAAATTTTCTTTTTTATAATGGAATAGCCAACTTTGATCTGTTTTCCAAGTTTCAACTATATCCAGGGATATGAGTGATTCTCTCTGGGCTCAAAAGTTGTTTTATTTTTCTTTTGAATAACCATCTACCACAGAAATACGGGAAGGCTTTACTCTCATCCAGAAGTGATTCTAAAACTTCAGACAGTGCATAGTTCTTTAGCTTGAACTTAAAGAATCTCTGATCTAATAACCTACTCTTTTGACCACCAAAGCTAATCGAGAGATGGGATTTTCATGCCATAGGAAGATCCACAGGGATATTTACTTAGATTGGAGATTAAGTATAAGTGATTTCTTATGCTCCTTCCCTAAACCCTTCAAAAATGAATTAAGAGGGCTGGGAAGTTGGCTCAGTGGTAGAGTGCTTACCTTGCATGCCTGAGGCCCTGGGTTCGATTCCTCAGCACCACATAAGCAAAAAGAAAAAAGCCGGAAGTGGCTCTGTGGCTCAAGTGGTAGAGTGCTAGCCTTGAGCTGAAGAGCTGAGGGACAGTGCTCAGGCCCAGAGTTCAGGCCCCACGACCAGACCCAAAAAAAATGAATTAAGAATACTTAGATAAAAGGAAGCATTAATTCCCCCCAAATCAGGAAGGAAATGCCAATTGAACAGAAAACTCCTGGAAGTTTTTGGGAAAGCTGAAACTTCAGGAGGTAGGGGACAGGCTAAAATGCAATGCAATTGGTATAACAGAACTTTGGAAATCCTCAATTATGGCTGTGCCATGTGCCACTGATATTAAGATAAAGGACTGATACAGTTTTATATCTATCTAGTGGCTCAAATACCTAAGGACTTATTTTCTCCTACTAAAGACATCTGATAAGGCAGCTTGAGAAAGTATGGTATTGCTGCTGATTTTTCCTAGCACTTTTTTTCCTTTTAGACACCATCACTGCATATCGGCTATTCTCTCATGGTCCAAACAGTAGAAGATCTAGGCATCATACCCTCATTCAAATAAGGAAGATGAATAGGAAAGAGGGACATGCCACTCAGCTGGATCCATCCTGGTATTTTTTCTTTGTGCTTTATTTGTTGATAATGGCACTTGAACATAGAGCCTCATACTCAACAGGTTTGCTTGCTCCTATGACTATCACTTGAGACACTGTCTCTAGCTCTTCTTTTATATTTTTAATGTGCCAGTACTGGGGCCTGGACTTGGATCCTAGGAGCTTATCCTTGAGCTTTTATACTCAAGGCTAGTGCTGTACCACTTGAGCCATGGTTCTACTTCTGGCTTTGGGGTGGGGGCAGTTAGTGCTTAATTGGAGTTTTTTGACCTACTTCCTGGGCTGACCTTGAACCTCAATCTCAGCCTCCTAAGCAGAATTACAGGAGTGAACCATCAAGCTAGACTTGCTTTTTGGTAGTAATTTTAGAAATGTAGTTTTACATACTTTTCTTCCTAGACTGGCTGCAGGTATGTGTACATATACATATGTGTATAAATATATACATACGTATACTCATAGACATATATATAATATATACATGTATACATATACACACATACACATTTGGCCTGAATGTTTTATGTTGGGAAAATTAATAAATAATAAAATTTAAAAATTAGTGATTTAAGCATATTCTATATTAACCATTTGCTAAAATAAAGAGTTTGCTTTGGTGAAAATAGAGTTGAGGTATGTTCTAGGCACTAAAGGAGGGAGTCTCTGCTTGTTGTATAACATTATTTACTTTTGAAAAATAGATATATAACTTTGATCATAAAATTAAATTAAAAAGCTAATTAAGCTGGCCCTGTTCACGCTTGTACTCCTAGCTACTCAGGAAGGTGAAATCTGAGGATCATGGTCCAAAGCCAGCTCAGGCAGGAAACTCTGTGAGACTCTTACCTAATTGAGAACAAAAATCTGTAGGTAGACTTACTGCTCAAGTGATAGAGCACTAGCCTTGAGCTTAAAAGCTTAGAGATAGAGCCCATGCCCTGAGTTCAAGCCCTAGAACCAGCATACACACACACACACACACACACACACACACACACACACACACACACACACACACAGAGAGACAGAACTAATTAAGGAAAAGTAATTCTACAGATATTCTGAAGTAAGCAAAATATTACAGTAGCATACACAAATTTTTTTTCCCCATCAATAATTTGGTCACAGAAACAAAGACAGCTTTTGAAATCTCAAATTAAGATACATTGTTTTCTGAAAGCTCAGATTTCTCCTCCCTCCTGGGTTCAAATTCTATAGTGTCAAATCATCTTGGATGTCTAGCGTAGGTGTGTGAGCAGTTATTCTAAAAAATGCCATTAAATACTCAAGAGACATACAGCTCTATAGGCCAGCCGCTGAAGCTCTGCCACTGAAGTGCAGTGTTCTCTCTGTTGTTCCAGACAAGGCCCTGCCAAGCCAGAAGTCCTGTCTATTCAATGGCCAGGGAAGCGATCAAGTCGTCGAGTCCAGAGACACAACAGCTTCTCTCCCAACAGTCCTCAGTTTAACCTCAGTGGTCCAGGTAACACAACCTTCCTTCTTCTGCTTCTGCATAGACATTGCAATGTATATTTTCCAATGTCTAATTTAACAAAAAGTAACTAAGATCATGATAGTGATGGAACACTTCTCTGCTGAAATGGCAAAGGTGCTGCACAGTGTATTGATGCTAACCACGAGTTCTGACAGAGCTCTGTCTGGGAAGTCCACAGAACAATGGTGGACAAGGAGAAAAGCAGCTCTAGTACTTAATACCCAAAAGACTTGAGCTCTGTAGTTTTTGCCATCAACGTGAAGCAAAGAAGCACCTGTTGGGCTTTACCCTAATATGCTTTAGATCTTCAAACCTTCTAAATTTATTTGGGGAAAAAGATCTTTCTTGGTCTCCTACCATGTTAAGAATAGTCATGGATGATCATTCTGAAGCTTGTGATATAACACAAGATATATTAGAGCCAAGCACAGTATCTCAAGCCTATAATCCTAGCTACTGTAGAGGCAGAGATCAAAGGGTCACCGTTCTAGGCCAGCCCAGACAAAAATAAGTTTGAGACACTGCATCTCAACCAATGGCTAGGTGCAGTGGTGTGCATTTATCAATCCCAGTAACATGATATGGGGAAGCACAAATAGAAGAATCAAAGCCCAGGCTGGCCTAGAAATAAAGCCAGACCCTACCATGAATATAATGAATGCAGAAAGAGGCTGGAGGCATGGCTCAAGGGGCATTTTAAAATAAAATTTAAAAAAATTAAAAAACAGCAATAGAGTTTAGGGCATAGCTCAAGTGGTTGTGTTAACCTACCAACTGTGAGGCCCAGGCAGGGTCTAGTCCCAAAGAAAGGAAGGAGAGAGGGAGAAAGGGAGACAGAGAGGGAAGGAGGAAGAATGAAGGAAGGAAACTTCTAGGCTCCCTAGGCAAAATATATATTATTCTTTGCATTTTTAACTATTTAGAAACCAGAATTGACCTGAAGTTTCCTTCTTTCATAGAGATTTTGATATGATTGACACTTTAAATGCTTTGGGGAACAACCCAGATAAGAAATATGTTAATCTGTGAATTAAAAAGTAAATCCAAATTTTATTTAATATTTTCTTCAAATATCATTGCTCTCTCTCTCGCTCTATCACTCACACACACACACACACACACACACACACACACACACACACACTTCTAATTCCTAATATTCATTTTACATTCTGATTTATTCTTTCAAGAAGGCAGTTCTAGAGAGCTGAATTCTGATGTGAAGCACTTCCCTCTTTAATTATTGCTAGGTTTTATTGTAGAAGTTAATAGGATTTCCTGTGATGTTTCTATATATAAGCAGTATTCCTTTGTAATTTAGATCTTGACTCCATTTCATTCCAAGCTAAAGCAAGGATTTATGGTATTAAATACAATCATACATTCATTTAAATAAATATTAAAATTAATACTACCTCAACAAACACCTGGAAAGTATTTGGAAGAAGCTGCAATAAGGACTTATGAGATGCTAAGAGGTTCTTGTAATGACTTGGACCATAACCCTTCCCCTTTCACATAACTGTCCCAACAGCAATAATAATAGCATCAGAAAATGTATAATGTTTAAGTTGGTGCCATACACAGATACAGATACATATGCTGTGTACATGTGTGTATGTGTGTTCACATATGTAAGCACATATGTATGGATACTACATCCCCATACACATAGTATATGTATCTCATAGCTCTGAATAAGGAATAAGTGTCCTTTTGAACCACTAGACTGACTAGAGAGTCCACATAGACTTAGTTTAATCCCTGGAAAAAGCAGCACCAGTTCTCTTGCAGCTGGTTATGCTTATAACTATGCCAATTTATGTCCACCAGGTCAAGGGTATGGAATCTAAATTATTGACTGCTGTTTCCTTTTTTTTCCAAAACAAACCAACTGTGTCAATGAATAGTGAAAATGGTGCTCAGTAGAATCTTGTCAATGTCAAAGATCAATACAGACAATATTTTTAAAAAGTAGGTCTGTGAAAATGAACCCAGGTTCTCTGGTAATCAAAAAATTAAAAGGCACTCCCAGAAATACGAATTTTAAAAGTGTTTACAAGTTAATAACTCTATACTCCATTAGGGCCAAAGGAAAGAGAGAACCAAATGACTCGAGCTTAATATATTCTTCTTTTGATCTCTTAAGGCTTACTAGAAGAAGACAGCCAGTGGATGACCCAGATAAACAGACTCCAGAAATTAATTGACAGGCTGGAAAAGAAGGTAAGTACTTCTTTCTTCTTTTTCTTACTTCTACTTTTCAAGATATTCGAACACCGCTTCCCATGACTAACTGCCAAGAGCTAAGAATATTTGCTTCATATTACTGGGAGAGGAGTGTTCTCTTTGATCCTTAAAGCAAATATGAAACTCACATGAATTCCACTCTCACCTTTCTATTCCCAAATGAATTTAAAATAAGAGAGAAGATTGATAAATAAATCAGTAGGTTTCTATTAGGTTATTAAGTGACCTTGTTGGCAGATGCTTGAATGCTGCTAAATAGCAGTTCTTAGAAATGACATTCATCTATCTATCATATAGATGGATAGATAGATAGATAGATAGATCAATAGATAGATGAATGTCATATATATATGAACCATTTGCCTCCCTAATCTCATTGTTTCTTACAAATATTCAATAGGTATTATTACCAAAATCAATAATCAGTTCTCAACATCAATATATTGAGTATCACTAATACAAGTTTAGTTTTTTAAAAGTTTTAAACAATTTCTAGGACTAAAAGTCTACAAACAGTATTGTTCAGACTAATTATTATTATATTAATTATTATACCATATTATTCAATTTAGTTCCCTCTGTAATGATACTATATACAATACACTATACATTTTTTGCCATTTAAAAAAAGGGAATGCCCTTCTTGAAATCTTGAGAATCTTTCAAGTTGATTGGGGAAGGTGACTAGCATATCTATGATGGGATTCAACACTTGCCTCCTAGAAATTAGCATGTTAACCGATTACGTAGTAAGCAAGCTTACATAGTAAGCAAGCAAGTTAGGATTAAGTAAGCAAGTTAAGATTGATAAAGAGGTCTTTGGAACTAAGTTATATGTTCTCAATTATTATATTTTATCAATTAATTCAGTTAATTTCAAGTAATCATATTATAGTGATGTTCTCCCTGAGAAACCTTTGTCAATCAGTAAAAATAATTGTTTCCTGTGAATGTTAGACAACAAAGAAGAAGCACTGATATTTTTCAGGGTTACTGACTTGGAAGAATCAATAGTCTATTTGCAAAGATAAGCATACATACACACGCATGCACACACACAGAAAGAGGGAGGTGGTAAAATAGTTTTGTTTTTTAAAAGAGTGATTTAAAAAAGAATCAAACTGGTAGCTAATGCTCAGTAAATAATTGCTGATTGATACATGTCAAAGAACTGGAGCAGATGCTAACAAATACAGATGTTCCTTGGAGGGAGTGGCCACCATCACCTGGAGTGGCTCTCATGTAGGAGAAGCCTTATGCTGGGCCCTCTATTTTTAAAGTGACGAATAAATTAGGAATTTGATTGTAAGTAACAGAAATCACACTCCTAATTTTAATAGAATTGAGATATGTGGGGGTAGAATCAACAGAAATCAACTAGAAACTTAAATTCAGGAAAAGTCAGCATACAGGCTAGCTCTTGAGACTAGGTAGCAACCAATACTTGGTGTCTTGGGTTATCTTCACTGAAATTAATGACTTGTAACCATTTCCAGTGTGTTTACGATTCTACCTCAGATGCTGGAAAGTATTTGTCACATGCTGGGCTCTTGGATAGAGGAGTGAGAAACACCTTGATTAACAATCTAACAGTGCTGTGTAGAAATGAGAAGAGATAATTCACTGCAAGGAAACTGTACTGTCATTAAAGATGAGATAAATTCTAATCAGCTAACAAATAAATAAGTATGTCTTATGGAGAAGTAAAATTTTAGTAAACAGTACAAGCAGAAAAGGTACTGAAGGAAAGAACAAAGGTTAGATAAAACAGCTTAGTTCAGTCATTGAGGGAAGTAGAGTCATTAAGGTTATATAGATGGATGGAGGCCAAACCATGAATGGTGTTGAGTAATAGACTGAGGTATTTGAATTTGGCCTTGGAGACAAGAGGAATTTATCACTTTTTAACTGGAAAATAATAAACTAAAATTATTTTTTAGCTAGTAAACTCATCAGCAAGACACAAATTGGATTAAAAGAAATGTAAAATGGATTCAATGGAGGACAGCTTAGGCCGCATCAGACGGGAATGGAAGTGCAGGTGTGTGTGTGCTCAACCCAGTAGCACCAGCCTGAAATGACAAGGGATGGGTCTTCGCTAAGTGAGTGAATAGAAGATGCACATTTTAAAGACAAAATGAAATTAACAGCACCAGCTCATGGGTGTGGTGGAAACTCAAGCTGGAGTCTGAGCATTTGAACCTTTCTTTTGCAGACCAGTAACAAAACAAGGAGAGACAAGTGAGAGATCATTTCTAAGGTGGGGTAAGAAAGCTGAACTGATATTTCAGATGTGTTGATTTCTAGGTAGAATAGGACATGTGGGCAGAAATACCCAGTCAAATTAGTACAAAAGAAGGGTCAGCAAGGCATGGTCTTAAAGCTATCACCACAAAAAAAAAGCCAACCCTCAAATTCTGAGGATGGAAAGGGTACTGAAAAGGATATCCTACAAATGAGGAGCAAGTTCAGGGTAACAACCTTGGAGACTTCTCAGTCTTTCTGCCAGGTTCATTCATGTGTTTTGCATTGAGACAAACACTTAAACTACAAGACTTAGAACAAGTCAACTTCTTTTTCACATTACCATTTGTCACAAGAGTTTAAAAGGATTCATAGGAAAAAAACAGTGGCTACAAACATTAATTTTCAATGTTTTCAATGCTGTAAGGCCTAGAAATACAGGATATCTTTTTGAAAACTAAACTCTATTAAAATAAACACAAGAGTTCTGCTGTTTAGATTATTTTAAACACTACAAATAAACCAGAACCAGCTCACACCCAAAATCCTAGCCACTTACAAGGGTGAGATCTGAAGATCATGGTTCAAAGCCAGTCTGGGTAGAAAAAAATGTCCATAAGACGCTTTTCTCCAATTTACCACCAAAATGCCAGAAGTGGAGCTGTGGTTGGGGCTCAACTGGTACAGCTCTATGTAATCTTGAGCAAAAACTTAGGGACAACACCCAGGCCCTGAGTTCAAGCCCCAGGACTGGTACACAGAGAGAGATAGAGACAGAAAGACAGAGAGAGACAGAGACAGACAGACAGACAGAGAATCAATAATTTTTTAGTTTTAGGCAAAACTATCTTTGCTTGGTATCTGAAATTAATACAGTTATTTTCAAAAGAGGAGCTCAAACTTGGCTCATACCTTTTTTTCCTTTTTCTAACTTTAAATCAAAGTATTGTCCTGTGTCTTTTACTCTGAGCCGTTTGTCTCCCTCCCTCCCCTTCTATGAAAGGGTTTCATTTTGAGAACAGTTATCTAAGAGCTGTGCTGAAAGTACAAGGTGATGGTTTTGAGCATGGGACTCCCGCTGGGTGGAGATCAGTGTGAGCTGGCTTAACGAGTAGGGAACGCAGTACAAGTTCAGTTTTCTTCTACAACTTATTCTATGTCACATTAGATTTTTAGAGGAAAACTACCCAATTGCTAAATGCATACCATTCCACTGCTGAGCTCTTGTTTCCCACAGCTGTTAGCACTAGGTTTGATATCCTGTTCAAAGGACATGTACATGTGGTGAAACACATGTTAGCCTTTCTGCCCATTAAGTATTTATGATGAATCCTTCCTGCAGTGTAATCCAAGCCCAATTCCATTTGTGTGAGAGAAAAATAACACCTGCTATTTCTACAGGTTTCTCAAATTTTCCTTCTGGCCTTTCTAGCCTCTTGGGTTTCATGGCAAGAATCTGATGTTTTATAGCTTATGTTTTGCTTGAAACATTTGCAGAAATCATCTTTAATGTTTGAAAAATACATGTTGACAAGGACAACAATAAGACTTGTTCATTCTTCACAAAGTCCCATCATGGCCATCCTCATTTAAAGAGGAGTAATTTGGACATCACACTCACATGATTTAAGTTTTTCTTACCTAAGATCAGAGAAGGTAGAACTTAAAAGTGAACTTCAGATGGTGTCTGGAAATACCAGTCAAGGACATGACTAAGTCTGAGTTTCTAGCTATAAAGTATTTTTAAATTCTCAATTCAAAATAAAATGTTTCTGCACAGCTAAAGACATAGCTACCAAATTAGAAAGACAGCCAACCAATTGGGAAAAAATATTTACCAGCAATATATAAGACAAAGGCCTAATATCCATTATATATACAGAACTCAAGAAACTAATTCCTCCCAAATCTAACAAACCAATCATTAAATGGACAAGGGAACTAAAGAGAGACTTCTCAGAAGTAGAGATAAAAATGTCAAAGAAACACATGAGGAAATGTTCATCATCCCTGGCCATAAAGGAAATGCAAATAAAAACATCCCTGAGATACCACCTTACCCCAGTCAGAATGGCCCATATCCTAAATTCAGACAATGATAAATGCTGGCGGGGATGCAGAGAAAGAGGAAACCTATTGCACTGCTGGTGGGAATATACACTAATACAACCATTTTGGAAAGCAGTCTGGAGATACCTCAGAAAACTATATATAGACCTCCCCTATGACGCAGCCATACCACTCCTAGGCATCAACCCTGAGCAACAGGAACCAGGATATAAGGACACATGCACCTCCATGTTCATTACTGCACTGTTCACAATAGCCAAGATATGGAAACAACCCAGATGCCCTACTACAGATGAATGGATCCAAAAATTTTGGTACCTATATAGAATGGAATATTATGCAGCCATTAGAAAGGCAAAACAATGGCATTCACAGGAAAACTGATGAAACTAGAACAAATCATTTTGAGCAAGGTAAGCCAAAATCAGAGAGCCAAATGGCACATTTGTCTCCTTGATATGTGGACGTTAAATTCAAAATGCAAGGAGATACGACAAAATAAACAGGCCTCACAAAACAAAGGACCTCTACTTAATTTGTCATATTTCTAAATGACTCCATATTCTTGACCACAATTATGGTGTGTGTGCATATATATATGTATATATATGTATATATATGCACATCTGAGAGAAGCTAGGAGGAGGACACAGAATCAGAGGGAAATGGAAAAATATACACTAGAGGGGTCCATCAGGGGCCCATTAGTTCATTGATGAAAATGAACTAAGAAACTCAAGGGCAGAGATGGGAGGGAGGAAATGAGAGGGAAAGACGGAACAGCTTACATTAAGCAAAAGGAAAGAAGTGTACTTATCACCTGATGTGGAAGAAATAGTTGTGTTGTCAAAGGTCATAGAATTCACAAACTTTATAGACCATGATAAAGACAATTTGCCTTGTGAAGGACAAAATGTGTTTGTGACTTTAAGTATCACTATCCTACAATACTGTGAAATTTATATAATCACTTAATCTCAAAAAATTACTTTAAAAACAAAAAATGTAATTCTCAATTTGCATTTCTGTTCATTATATAATTTCACATTTATGAAAAATCTGTGAATGAGATTGGGTATATGCAGACATTCTTTTTTTACTCTACATTGATTATCAACTATGTGTCTGGGAATATGTGGCAGCAGGGACACAGTAATGTTCAAAACAGATGAGATCTTTGGCTTTTGAGGTAACAGACAAAAGCAAATGAATGTCTGGATTCAGGTGGCTCATGTCTGTAACCCTAGCTACTCAGCAGTCTGAGATTTGTGGTTTGAAGCTAGCCTGGGCAGAAAAGTCCATGAGATTCACATCTCTTAACTTCCAAATAGCTGTAAGTGGAGCCATGACTCAAGTGGTAGTCTTGAACAAAAAAGCTCAGACATAGCCCAGGCACTGAGTTCAAGTTCCAAGACTGGCAAACACACACACACTCCCTAAAAAACAAATTGTATAAGTCTGAAAGTCTGAGAAATGAGAAAAAATAGACAAAATAGAAAATGCAATGAAGAAAATGTGAGACAATGTGAATAAGATACTCAAAGTGATGGTCTGTGAGAAGTCTCATTAAGGTTGTGTTTGAGCTAAATTGTGAGAAACAAGAAGAAACGCTAGATCAACTCTAGAGACACAGAAGATCAGGCAGCAGGAAGAGTAAAACAAGTTAGACAACATGTCCAGCATTCAACTACTAAATAGCACAGGGGGACCTCCATAGCTCTGCTATTAAAAGGCAGATTTACTTCAGAAAGTCTCCATTTCTACAATCTTTCATTAACTTCTTGGCCAATTGAAAAAATTATTGTGCACAATCTTCAGTTGGAAAAGTGCTCGAATGTGTACTCATCAGAATAAAGTTCCTGAAGATTGAACACTGACTCAAAAGAAATTAACCTATTAGACCTAGTCATTACTTTTTTAATGTTTCTTTCCTCTCTGTGTTTTAATACCTCTTTCTACTTTGAGTGAAGTAAACTTAGAGCAATAACAAACAATCTGAAATTGTTCCTTACAAAAGAAAAATGGACAGTCCTTATTGGGACACTTCAATTTAATAAAAATCAAAATTATTTCATTACCCTTTAGATAGCCATGTTCTTTTTGTTAAATATTACCATGAAAATCTATTAAATGAGTACATGACTTTTAAAAATATTATATAATTTGGGGGTGCTTTTATCTGCTTTCTCTTCCTCTAACTGAAGGATCTCAAACTTGAGCCGCTGGATGAAGAAGTTATTGAGGGGAATACTAAATCTGTAAGTACATTTTCAAGTCAAAGTTTTAGATATATGTATTTTGAAGACATTACTTAATTTCTTCCAAAACTCTTTTCTAGTCATTGAAAGTTGAAAAGGTAAGCAATAGATAGATATATTTTATTCTGCATGGGTAAACTGTGATTTGTGGAAACCTAATGCCCACTTCACAAGGATTTTGTAAAAGTGTGTGGCATATAATAGGTACAAAATGAGTTTTTAAGCTTGTATAAATAATCTATGAGTTACTGAATAATTGAATGAATATGATATAACAATGAAATTTTGTTATAAATACATTTTGAAAACTCCAGTAGGTTGAATGTTGAGCATTTAACCTAAGTTGGGGAACTTTAAAGGCTCACAAACAAATCTTCAAAGAAAAAACTGATTTGCAGAGAAAATGGAATATACATAACCCTAGGGAAAAGATGTCTATTCAGAGTGATCATGATTTATGGAAATAGAATAAAATTAACAAAATTATCCTGAAAGATAGACCAAGTTGCAACAGAAAGAAATTAGCAAATAAATTGAAAAGGATCACACATAATGCCTTACTTATGCAAATATTTAATATGCTCAGTTTGAAGAAATTGGATGTTTTCTACATTTAAAAGGACACCACATTTTTATATCTTGAGTTCCTATAGAATATTACATTTACTTGAATACTTTAAGTACATTGCCTTAGAGATATTGAAAGATCAGTCACATTTACTTGTAAGAAAGACACCCTCATCTCTGTAATGTCCAATTGCTCCACAGACACTGATTGCAGGTTGGAAGAAGGTGACTTCCACCCAGGTGGGAGGCTCCTGACCCTCTGCTCAAACACATAGCACAAAGAGATTCTGTAGAGGGAGCCAAAGGGAGTCTCAAAAAAGCTGAATAATGGCTGTAGATATTCAGACTTTCCCCTGATATGTGCTATATTTTCTACTACACATACTTTTTATTTCTCTAAAGAGAAGGATAAAATCTGTGTGAATTCCACAAGAATTGGGAAAGTGAGAGGAAAGAGTGTGGAAAACTCAAGCTAGGAATACCTTGCTGATATGGTTTCATAGGTGGAGGAGTTGTTAACCTCATGATCATGTGCTAGCATCTCAGAGGTTTAAAGGGAGACTCTGGTTCAGAAAAACGTTGGGAAACACAATTGTCTATTTTTAAATAATTTCTAATGAAAGACTATAGTCTCTATTCATGAGATAGAAAAAGTCACATCGATGTTGTTTGCAAAAGGTGGCAGTTATACACATTGGTTAGTCCATGACAGAAGAGACATAGATTGCTGCCAATTCTAAAAGGTGAACTCATAGGATATTGTTAATTTAATAGTTTATAGAAGTAGTTTTTATAAAAATAGGACCGGAGCTGGGAAAGTGGCTCGGTGGTAGAGTGCTTGCCTAGCATGCATGAGGCCTTGGGTTTGATTCCTCAGCACCACATAAGCAGAAAAAGCCAGAAGTGGTGCTGTGGTTCAAGTAGTGAGGTGCTAGCCTTGAGCTGAAGAGCTGAGGGAGAGCATCCAGGCCCAGAGTTCATGCCCCACGACCAGCAAAAAAAAAAAAAAAAAAAAGGATTGGACAAAGTAGGACACTTAGCTTTCAATATTATTTGAAAGCAAGAATATCTGTTAACTCTTCAACCATGAGTAGAGGCAAAATACACACACACACACACACACACATATATGTAAATATATATATATATATATATTCTTTCAGAACATTCGTAGTAGCAGTTTGATAGTGTTTGTTTTCCTCAGAATTACCAATATGACATTTGTCATTTAAAGTTGTATTTTTCACTAGTATGCATAAAGCCCTAGGTTTCTTCTGGAGCAACACACACACACACAAACACACACACACAAAATGGAATTCTTTTACTAAAGAAAAGTTTACCTTTTTCTACTAATAAAACACATGAGAACTTAAAAAAATATATATTATATATATATAATATATATAATATATATATTAAGCCAGGTGCCGGTGGCTTTCGCCTGTAATTCTAGCTACTTAGGAGGCTGAGATCGGAGGATCGCGGTTCAAAGCCAGCCCGGGCAGGAAAGACCGTGAGATTCCTATCTCCAATAAACCACTAGGAAACCGGAAGTGATGCTATAGCTCAAATGGTAGAACACTTGCCTTGTGCTGAAGAGCTGAGGGACAGCGCCCAGGCCCAGAGTTCAGGCCCCACAACCAACAAAAAAAAATCAGAAAGTGAGGAATAATTTTGCATCACATTTTTTTAGAGCTGACCTTTACTGACCCATCAGGTGCATGTTAAACATGAACACAAAGAACTCAGTCCTCACAATAGCTGCATGAGAGGTGCCAACAGTGCCATCATTTCACTAATGAAGGAACCAAGGTGTAGAGAGGTTTCAACATTACAGCCAAACCCCAGCAGTTTGACGCCAGACCTATTAACATCACCATACCAGAACACTCCAAATCTGAGTGTTTGGTAGATTTCTGGCCTTCTGTTTGGAAGGGAAAGTGTATATTGACATTATTGTTTCATGAGACTTCCTACCATGTAGCAGCACATTTTGCTTGATGGTATTATGTAAACATGCAGCAAAAGCCCTGAACTCTACTAGCTTCCATACCTTGTTTTTCAAGCAATGAACCATTACATCATACTGACTCCAGGAAGCAATTTCTAATTTTAAGCCCAGTTTCTCCCTGTTAACCTATAGTAAAGGAAGTAATGTGCATTGAATACTTATCCTAGGTAAGATCCTTAATCTTCCCCAAAAACTCCAAGATATGAATACCATGATTGCAATTTTATGTATCAGAAGACTTAACATAAGGAAGATTAAATAACTTATTCAAAGCCATCTAGCTAGTAAAGGCTAATTCTTTCCATCTATATCCCTTTTTGAAAAAGAAGAGGAAAAGATGGTAGAGATAAAAGAGCACTTAACAACTGTGCAATGCTCTAGAGTTTTCAAGCCCCCTCAAATTCTCTTCTGTAATTAATAATTACATAAAACTTGCTAAAAATTATAATAAAAGTCAGAAGTAAACAAGAAGTATCATATTTTGCTTCTTTTGTCCACAAATGAACTATTATTTATATGCCAACCCTGATGAGAAGGTCTAGAGAGAAACTGGTGAATATTATAGACTAACAGGAAATACAGGCAGTGAAACAAGAATCTGTAATAAATGTGATGAAGATTGGTATAGGGAAATAGATTTTCACAGCAAAGGGGCACAACCTAATTTAGGATGCAACAGAATGCATCCAGAATGACATATTTAAGACAAAGTCAGACTGAAAAGTAGGATTTTAAAAGTAGTGTTTATGCATCTCATAATATATTAAATTTGTCTAATGCGCTGAAAAGAACACTGTGGTGCTACAGCAGAATATTAAAATATTCTAAATAATTTATTAAAAGCAAACTTAAAAACAGCAATCCTTACTGGTGTCAATGACTCATGCCTGTAATCCTAGTAACAGGAGGCTGAGAGGTGAGGATCATGGTTCAAAGCCAGCTCAGGCAGGAAAATCCAGTAAATGACTCAAAAAACCCAAAAGCAGTGCAAGTGAGAGAGCACAAAGAGGCTCAAGAACATAGCTCATGCCCTGAGATCAAGCCCCAGTACTGGCAAAAATTAAATTAAATTAATAAAGTGCCATAAGAAGCCCACAGGCACATCTTTAGGGAAATCTTCAAAACTACAATTGCTACAGTGATAATCAGCTTTGTTACAAGAAATGGTTGGCATTCAATCCATTAAACATGGCTCCACTTAATATCATGGTATTCTGAACAGGAACCTATTATGTATAAGCGGAAAATATGTTTGAGAAAATTTTAACAGTAGACACACCACTGGAAATTCATCCATGAACACACATATTTTGACATCTCATTGTAAGGACTGCTATGATATGTCTACTATCACAAAATACCCAAGAAAGTGGCACTATGCGGTATACAACAGAACTTCACTATAAAATATGATGACTTGAAGACTGTGATGATGGTCTAAGTGCACATTAGAGGTATTTAGGGAAGTTATTAAAAATACCAGTGCCTGGGTCCCACTGCCAGATTAAGTGCAGTCTTCAAACTTCCCAGTGATTCTACTTGAATCATTACTATTAAAAAGGAAATGTGTCATTGCAAAGGACATTTTTCTTTAGCTCGTGTTGTTAGAAGACATTGTTAGAGGACATTTTCTTGCAAAATGTCCCACCTATATTGTAGCCTTCATATAATTTTCGTCGTGGAATAGATGGATTTCGTTGGTCCCATTGACTGCTTGCCAGTGATTTTCCTTGTGAAGAAGAACTGGATAGGCACTAAGGGATCAGCTTTGTGATACCAAGACAGTAAGCTTGTCCTTTCCTTGGCAGCACATCATGCTTGTTCAGCGTCAGATGTCCGTAATAGAAGAGGATTTGGAAGAATTCCAACTCGCTCTGAAACACTATGTGGAGAGCGCTTCAGCCCAACGTGGATGTTTACGGTAAGCGCCGAGGCTGAGCCAGCACTATGGGCTGTGCAAAGATATCTCCCACTTGAGTTAAGGGTGAGAATCTGGATGAAGCCTCACATGACACGCTCCTGCCCAGTCCAGTCCTTGGGATGAGGCCATTTAAAGTGTTTAACCTGCTGTTTTATTCTTTGATCCTTGGACCCTAGCTGCTTTGATCATTAGAAGCACCAAGGGAAATAATAATCATCTAAACGAGGAATTTCAAAAAGACTGAAGGTCCTCCTGCTGTACCCATGCAACCAGCGCTCATTTCCAGTCCTCTCCATAATGATGCCTCCACTCTCAGGCACCTAGTCTTGATTGCTTTATGCCCTGTGTGTGGCATAATGACCATAGTGCCATTATGAAATTGCAGGACTCTCTGAAATCATGCTTTCAGACCTGGATTAACAAAAGAAAAATCAGCCCTTTCTTCCTTTCTTCTCCATTACCACTACTCAACTCAGATATACTATTGATCATCTTCAATTTTTCTACTCTTATCCATCTAATACTAGAATCATTTTCCAGAAGGAATTCTATAAATTTCCTTCATCTGGAATTTGCAATTATTTTTTGATGAGTATCCTAACAGTCTTTGTTCTGACCTTAGGATTATGTTGCCAGCAAACCCCAGGAATCCACATCACTGCTGCTGTTTGTTCCTCTTTCCTGAGCTCTGCCTTAGCTATGCACAACTGGCCACTCTCTCCCCCTTCCAGAAATGTGTACTTAGCTGCCAGTCTCTGCCAGCCCATGCTTTGCCTTATGTACAGGGCTCAGGCCCAAACTCACCTGCATTCTGCAAACTTCCACATCTAAATCTATCTCTGGTTTGCAAACTTGTTATACTCATATACTGCATAGTGTTTGGAATATTGCTTTGAAAAGCTTTATAAGCAGATGTTTGTGTGGCCATGCATCTGTGTGGGTGTATGCATACTACAACATTCTTGTTGTCTCTGAGAGACAGTAGCTAATTATATTTTATTCACACCACAGCAGAATCTGTCCAGCTCTTGAAGTGAGCTAGGATCAAACTATGATTAAAGCTAATATTTCATTACCTTTGTTGGGGTTGGGGAAAGACTCTGTTGGCTCCAAGCTTCAGTTTCCTTATCAAGAAACTCATGATCCAGGTGTAGTGATCCATACCTGTAATCCCAGCTATTCTAGAGATGAGGGTCAGAGGATCACAGAGGCCCACTGGTCAGGCACTCATGATCCTATTTGAAAAAAGAAAAAGCAGAAAGACAGGGGCCATGACCCAAGTAGTAGTGCACTTACCTAGCAAACATGGTCCTGAAGTTGAAATATTACAAAAAAACAAACCAATGCAAAAAAACCAGTTTTGAGTGTTGAAAACAATGTCTTCCATCCACAAAGAGCAGAAAACGTGAGCTGGAGTCACTCTTGACTCCTGGGTGAGCTCCTTTCTGGAGTATATTTGCTCAATATCATCAACAGCTCACAACTTCCCAAGGAAAGGATATGTTTCAATTATGCTGTTATTCTACTGCAAATCAGGCTCAGAAAGTTACAGATCAAAACTCCATTGTAGTTCATTTAAGTAACTCAAGAGACTTGCTAAAGTGGGAATATTTGTGAGTTTAAAAAGCTTACTCATTTAACCATAAAATTGAATATCTGGGAAATGAAAAGGCGTCTATATATTCTTTCAGACACAGAAGTCGCAGAAGATAGCTCAGGGAGTGTGTGCGTGCGTGCGTGCGTGCATGCGTGTGTGTGTGTGTGTGTGTGTGTGTGTGTGTGTGTGTGTGTGTGTAAATATAATAGAGTATGTTTCAGTGTATCACAATCTCCAGGAAATGATAAGATATTTTATGTTTGCAAAAAGGTTCAGTAGCAAGGCTTTAACATGTGGTCAGAACATGCTTTGAAGTCAGTAGACTAGCCCCAGGAAGGGGAAACAGGGTGTGGAAATAAGAGAGTAGATACATCTGTGTAGCCTGCTGCAAAAGCTGTTGTATCAATAAGCAGGAAACACTGCTCTGTTGCCACCTGCTGGGAGGCTGAGGGAAGTAGAATATCCTTCTCCTATAAAATACTCAGCCTCTCCTTTTTTCTTTGCATGATTAGTTTGTTTCTCATTAGCTCTTTACTTACCACTGATTCTTTTATCCAATTTGTTGTTCTGTGAAATTATCAAAATTTAAACTTGTCAGCTGCAATGAGAGTGAGTCATCACACACAGGTAGCACGTACGTGGAAGACATGTTAAGTCATTATGCTTAAGTTCAGTTTTTCAGATGTACTAATCAAATTTAGTTCTCTGCCTACATTGGCTGATCAATCAAATGGCATTCTTGTTAGCATTTCTGCCCCTGTGTACCCATCACGATTGCTTAGTGCTTGATAGATAAAAGCTCTGTGAATTACCAGCTTCACTGTTCTTCCATAATGTTAAGTCTCATTGTAGTTAAGACACTGAATGTAGCCATAATATAATAGAAACATCAGGGATTTGTGATACATACCTATAAACCCAGCACTTGGAAGTCTGAAGCAAAAGGATCATGAGTTTGATGCTACCCTGGACTACAGAGCTAGTTTGAGGCTAGTCTGGGCTACATAGTGAGACTCTGTCTCAAAATAAATAAAATAGAAACTTCATGATTTATAACATTAGCTAATTACATCCATTGTCTTACTCTTCAGGGGAATTATAATTATATTAAACTCCATTTAGAACCAGCTTGGATAGGTTAAACAACTTGTCCACATTTGACTCTGAAACTTTAATCCTTCTTGTCAATTCTCATCTTTGTGTTAGATATGCCTGAAATTCTGCAGCTAACCAAGGATAGAATGGGTTAGCTCCTTTCTGTTCCAGATACAAGAGATTCTTTAAGACTGTCACATTTCTGCCTTCTCAGTATCTGACTAAGAAACTTGGGTGTTTTGAGGACTGACAGAGACTTTGTCCAAGGTAGTCAGTTGACTTTTACAGAGTAGTGAAAAACTCAAGCAGTTACACACACACACACACACACACACACACACACACACACACAGTGCTAATCTATAATCACAAAGGCCTGTTAATTCCTGCTTGGCAAGGAGAGGTACCAAATGAATCAATATTATATACACAGTTTATTGATTAAACCATGCTTGAGAGCAAAGAATGAACAGTTCCTGCCTTCAAGAATTATAGCATCTACATGGAAAAACAGGATACTTATTCATGGAGCAATTAAAGCTATTTTCTTGGCTGAAAAATTGACAGCTGCTAAACAGAGTCAAGTGACTTCAAATTTGTAAATTTCATTGGGGGAAGAGTGCCGGGGCCATATACACTCTAAGCAGGTATTCTACCACTAAGTCACATCACCTGATTTTTTTTTGAGACATGATCTGTACCATGTAACCCAGGCTGGACTTGAACTTGCAATCTTCCTACACCACAACTGGCTGAGTCCAAAAAATGAAAAGTTCAAATAGTATGAAAAGCAAGCTTTTAATGTAATAAGTAATACAAATAAGTTAGTTTCCATAAAGCAGTTGATGGAATACCTGATATGCTAAGAAAGCAGGTATGGATTGAAATGTGTCCATTTCATGCTGCTACATTACACGTAGAGGTTGAAAAGTCCTTAAACACTAAAATGGAAGCTATTCTTTTCCAAGAAAATATACATATGCAGATTAATTCCTGGAATTCTCCCAAAAACTTATTGTTGGGATTGGAAAATCACAAATTCCATCTTGTATTCCATTCTTAGAATCCTATAGTAAATCTTTCGTCAGAAAAATATAAATTTAAATAAATAACAATATTTGGTACATACCTTAATAAGGCAAATTAGGTAAACAATTATGAAAAACACCAAACAACAGGCAAAGAACTAAGAATAAATAAAAAAACAAAAAACAAAAACAAAAAAAAACCCTCATTAAAATTTCTGTGCGTGTCTACTGCCGCCTGCTGGTCAAATTTAAATTAATTCTAAATCTACATTAACAAACAATATTGGTAAATTCTTTCTTCTCTACTAGTTCAATTTTGTTCTATTCCCTCATCTTTTCCAACATACATATGTATACAAATGTATTGTGAAATAATAGCTAGGCTTTCAGATGTAAGGGTTATTTTTGACTCCCATTCTTTCCTATTTGAGAACCTGTTCTCTTTTTGGTTCTTTTTGTTTCAACACTAATTTGGATCTTCATCTCTCACCTGAGCAATTTCACTACTTGTCTCGCTTTTCTCCATGTCCTCTATTCATACTGGAGCATCCTAGGCAAATGCACTTATCTCTTGAGCCACACCCGCACAGTCCTTTTGCCTAGTATTCTGCTTTTGAGACAAGGTCTCATTAACTTTGCCTGGGCTGGTCTCTGTGTTCTTTTATCTACTGCTTCCTAAGTAGCTAGGGATTACAGTATGAATCATCATATCCTGCATCTGAATATATTATTGATAAATTTTTTCCATATTCTGCAAGCACTTAGGTTTCCTATATGAAGTTAAAACTTTTATGTTACAAAGATGAGAAAATAAAACTTTCTTCCTTTAATTTCTAGTGGCAATTATGACTTTTCTATTTCAGTGTTTCTATTCAGAAGCTTTCCAATGAGCCTCGCTACATGATTTATGAGTTCTGGGAGAACAGTAGTATGTGGAATAGGTAAGTTATGAACAAGACTGATTTGTTTTGTGAAAGTGGGGAGGTAGCAATATGCCTGATCTACTGTTCAGACTTGTACAAAAAGCTTATTTACCTCACCTTAAAATCTGCCTGATGAACTGCATCTCAACACTCCTAGTATTTGTTTCTTGGATTAGAAACCAGTTCCTTTTTGAAGCACAGATACTTTAAGTACTGATTCCACATAGCATTTTCCATTTTACTAATGCTTTTGGATAGATTTCAGAAGGACTATGGGTGTCTGAGAAAGATGGAGATGTGAAGTTTCATAAACTCTGTAATTATTTTGCTTTTAACACATTTATAATGTCTCAGACAATCATAATGCTAATTTTTTAAAGCACTACAAATAAAAGAAATTCAAGACACTAAAAAGAACAAATCCACTTTGAAAGAAATTATCTTAATTTTAATTTTTTCCTTTTTTTAACTTGATAAGGCAAAGTTTACTTCTGGGTAACAGAGTGTACAAGCACACAAAAGAGGGTGTTAAGCAGAGCACACAAACAAGAAAAAAATGTAATAAATGTATACTAAAGAAAGGTATGAAGGAAATATTTTTACTATTCAAAGATTATACGAACAGTTCAAACTGTACAGAGAGCAGGTCTCTAATAAGTCCATATTGTACAGTGTGTTAAATACAGTAATGGAGGTAATAAAACACCTGGTGATTCATTTGAAACGTATTTTGCCTTAATTTTTTATTTTTTTGTGCTGATCCTGGAGCTTGAACTCAGGGCCTTTATGCTGTCCTTGGGCTTTGAGCTCAAAGCTAGCACTCAACCACATCTCTACTTCTGGCTTTTTGGTGGTTATTTCTGAGATAAAAGTCTCATGGACTTTCCTGCTTGGGCTCTGACCTCAGCTTCATGGCTAGGATTACAGGCATGAGCCACCAATACCTGGCTAAAATTTTATTTTTGGACCTTCAAACGGTGATTTGAAAGTCTCAGGATGTAGCTCAGTGGTAAAGCATTTGCCCATCATGGATAAGGCCCTAGTTTCCATCTCCGTACACATTACGGAGTGTGTGTGTGTGTGTGTGTGTGTGTGTGTGTGTGTGTGTGTGTGTGTGTGTGTGTGTGTGTGTGTATACACATATATAACATACATGCATACATACATATATATGTATTAAATAAACAACACATTCAAAAAGCTCTCTGTGCTACATTGAAGATAAAAATGATACTAGTCATATTATTTCAGATGCAAAAGGGAGCATATTCAAGTTCATGCTACACTAAGATAGATGACTTTCATGTCAGTTCCTCTTCTAGGGATGGAAAATTTATAGTCAGCCTTAGCTATTCTATTTTTTAAACACTCAGACTATTAAAACATTCATTATGCTTAAACTTCTTCCTGAAATTAGGATATACCCCCTATTTATCTTCTGTATGAACTGTTTAGTTTTTTCTCTATATTTTTGATTAAAATTTCAAAGCTTCAGTCTATTTTTTAGGTAAAATAACAATGAAAGGAAGTCTGTATCCAGGCACTTAATCTAAATCACACAGAACCTTGTCATCTTGATTGAATTTGATTTCTTTTGCACTCTACGTATGAAAGTAAATAAAAAATGTCCATTTTTAACCTGTAATCATTTGTACAGCCACCTTCAGACAAATTATAGCAAGACATTCCAAAGAAGCAATGTGGATTTCTTGGAGACTCCAGAACTCACATCTACTATGCTGGTCCCAGGTAATTATCCCAGGTTCCTGGTGCTTCTGTGTGCTTGTGTATTTTTGAAGGCCCAGTGTGTTCTTCCTCATCACCACACATTTTATTAATGGTGCTCTTTTTCTTTTTAATAAATCTTATAACTTAGGTTCAGAGAAAGAAATATGTTCTATTGCATTAATCAATAATTAACCATTGTTAAAAGCTTAACATATTTCTAGCTATATTAAACTTATACTAGTAGTTTGCTAGTCACTTTCAAAATTGTGTAAGTATTTCCAAAAAGTATTCAAATGTGGTACTATAATTTAGTGTATGGAATACAATTAGCGTTAAGTGGCCCATGGGGTGGAAATTACAGTTTTGTTAGAAAAACATTCATTATAGCTGTAAAAATAATACTTCTACAGCTGGACACTGGTGGATCATGCTTGTAATCCTAGCTACTCTGGAGGCTGAGATCTGAGGATTGTGGTTCAAAGCCACCCCAGGTTGAAAAGTCTATGAAACTCTCCATTTAGCCACCAAATAGAAGCAGAGTTGTGGCTCAAATGGAAGAGTAGTTGAGAAAAATGAAAGAGTTCAGAGACAGCACCCAGGTTCTGTGTTCAAAGCCCCATAACCAGCACACACAAAAAGAAAAGAAAATAGTATTTATAACCGAGGAAGAAGAGAATGGTGACAGGGAAAGAAAGATTAATTTAAAGGAGTTGTCTAAGAAGTCTGACCTAGTCAAAACATAGGTAATTAAAATAATTAAAAATTAAGATAACTGAGAACTAAAACTCATTTTGTTCTTCATCCACTCATTTACTGACTATAGCTACTGAATACTAATATGTGCTTGGCACTGGAGTACTGGGGTACTTATTTACTAGTACTGAGTTCTGGTTTTGAACAAGAATTGGCTGGGAATATGACATTATAGGGTAAAAATACTTATAAAAATACTTATATAGTTTATAAAAAATATTTATAAAGCACTGTGTTCAGCTTGACAAGAATATTTGCAAAGACAAATGTCTACAGGAAAAAAGCAGCTCTGGCCAAAAAACTTTATGTACAATTGGAAGTAATAGGTGTAAAATAGTACTTAAGAGAATAGATGAGGGCTGGGAAGGTGGCTCAGTGGTAGAGCGCTTGCCTTGCATGCTCGAGGCCCTGAGTTCGATTCCTCAGCACCACATAAGCAGAAAAAAAAAAGCCAGAAGTGGCGCTGTGGCTCAAATGGTAGAGCGCTAGCCTTGAGCTGAAGAGTTGAGGGACAGCGCCCAGGCCCAGAGTTCAGGCCCCACGACCGGACCCCCCCCCCAAAAAAAAAGAGAATACATGACCATTTCCTTAATATTTTTAAAAAATGTGGTCTCAAGTTCAAGATTACGAATATCATAAGTCACTGAGGGTTTTTCAAACAGAAGATGACATCCTCGAATCACTAATAACTGACTAGAGGGAGGACATCCTGGAGACAGATTAACCAGGCAGGAAATGACATAGACCTGCGAAGAAGAAAACTCCTAACTGAGAGATACCCAGTTTGGGACTTCTCTCACAGTTGCAGTTTCCAGTAGTTAATAACAAAATAATGATTAAACTCAGGAATGATGAAAACATATATGGGTAAGAACAAAGTAGGAGAGTCCTGAAGAAATTCCTTAGCATAAAAGAAGAAAAAAAAACCCTCTGTTACTAAGGAAACTGGGGCATCAAAGGGAGGAGAATCAAAGGAGTGAAATGCTCCTTGGAGGCATGTGTAGTAAGAAGTGAGGGAAAAACTGGCACTAGAAATTAGATTTGACAAGAATTTTACTAGAGTATTAAGAGAAAAGTAGAGTAGACTTTGAGGGATTGGGCAGCAAACGGGATGTGAGTCTGTACATACTGGAATTAGAGCTAGGTGAGGAGACAGGGGAGATCAGGTGTGAATGCTTTCAAGTTGGCCGATTTAGGTAGCCTAAGATCTAGCTATATATTTATTATCGAGCTTGAGAAGAAAGATACTTATCTCTGACGTAGGGACTAGTGGACATACAGAATTTATTTCCCTTTTCAGCTCAAACTCAACCGTCCAAGAAGAAAGGTATGAATATGATTGAAATTTCTCATGCTTCATGCTTCAAGAAAGATGCAGGTGGGCTGGGAAGGTGGCTCAGTGGTAGAGCGCTTGCCTTGCATGCCTGCAGCCCTGGGTTCGATTCCTCAGCACCACATAAGCAAAAAGAAAAAAGCCGGAATTGGCGCTGTGGTTCAAATGGTAGAGCGCTAGCCTTGAGCTGAAGAGCTGAGGGACAGCACCCAGGCCCAGAGTTCAGGCCCCACGACCGGACCCAAAAAAAAAGAAAAAAGAAAGATGCAGGTGACTATGGCAGCAAGTTATTAAGGAACAGACTGCTGCAGTAATTGCCTTTAATTTACCAAGAAAGCTTTAGTGAGCTATTATACCAGGCTTGAAGAGTCTATTTTAATGAAAAGTCTACTGCAACCTTTGTACATAGAACATAAGGAAAGGAGATGGACATTTTTCTTATCACCTGCTGTTGTGAAATCCTTGTCATGTGTAGTTTCATAAATGGAGGGATAAAGAGCTTTAGCAGCATCATATATGTTTTGGTTATAAAGTGTACAAGAAATCCTGCCACTTGTAATTTTGGTTGGTGTCTACTAGCATATTCATTGTCATTGCTTAAAATCCTGAAACCATTGGTTCAGCACCGTAGAGGGAAAGGACAAAGTTTGTTCTTATTGGTGTTTTGAATCTTTCCAGGTCAGACAACACCTGAACCAAAATAAGAGTAGAAAAAAGAATATAGAAAGAGGTGGTGGTAATGAGAAGTGGAATACTATTGCAGGCATTGGAACAAATAAAGTGAGCTAGTAGAATTTCGTGGCTCAATGTTACTTCGTTATTATCTTGGATTAACTCTCTATGTACACTCACTGGTATAGGAAATGCTTTAAGAAAAATGGAGCACAAATAAAACTAGCAACTCTTGTTCCAAGTCCAATTTCAATGTAATGTTTTAATTGTTGTCATTATGATTTGCATTTAGATTACTAGTTTACTTAAGATATATTTCAAGAGATAAACAATAGTATTCAGATATAAAAATGCATGCACTGGGATGTGGCTCAAGAGGTAAGAGTGCCTGCCTAGTGCAAGGCCCTGAGTTCAACCCCCACTACTTCTATAAAATTATAGACAGATAGATAAGAGATAATATAGATATCCTTATATAATTTAGTTTATATGTATCCATAAACTAAAATGTCCTATGAATTCTCAAATATAAAAATCAATCAAATAAATCATACTAGAACACAGCAGCCCAGGTCCACTAACCACCTTGTGAACCATTCAAACAAAAAGAACTTAAGCTGTTTTGATTACTGTGGCTTTATAATAGAGTTTGAAATTTGGTATTGATATTCCTCCAGCACTGTTTTTTCTGTTGAGGAGCGCTTATGCTATTCGGGGTCTTTTATTGTTCCATATGAATTTTTGGATTGCCTCTTCTATTTCCTGGAAGAATGAGGTTGGAATTTTGATAGGTATCACATTGAATTTGTAGCCTTGGGAAGTATTGCCACTTTCACGATGTTGATCTTTCCAATCCAGGAGCATGGGAGTTTTTGCCATTTTCTAAGTTCTGTTTTGGTTTCCTTTTTCAAGTTTTTAAAGTTTTCATCATAGAGGTCCTTCACTTCTTGGTTAATTCCTAGGTATTTTATTTTTTGTGGGGCTATTACAAATGGAGTTGCTTTCCTAATTTCAGCCACACTTTTCTCATTGTTGGCATACAGAAAAGCCATTGATTTTGGGGGGTTAATTTTATACCCTGCTTCTTTGCCAAAGTTTTGAATCAGCATGAGTAATTTGGGAGTGGAGTCTATGAGATTCTTTAAATACAAGATCATGTCATCTGCAAAGGAGAGTTTTACTTCTTTCCCTATTTGGATCCCCTTTATGTTTGCATCTTGTCTTATTGCTGTAGCTAGGCATTCTAATACTAGATTGAAGAGAAGTGGAGAGAGTGGACATCCTTGTCTTGTTCCTGAGTTAAGAGGAAATGGCTTTAGTTTTTCACCATTAAGTATAATGCTGGCTGTAGGTTTGTCATATACAGCCTTTATTGTATTGAGGAATGTTCCATGGATTCCTAATTTTTCCAAAACCTTCATCATAAAGGGGTGTTGGATCTTGTCGAATGCTTTTTCTGCATCTATTGAGAGAACCATGTGGTTCTTATCCTTGCTCCTGTTGATGTGATGAATAATATTAATTGATTTGCATATATTGAACCAGCTTTGCATCCCTGAAATGAATCCTGTTTGATTGTGGTGTATGATTTTTTGGATGAATTGTTGAAGTCGGTTGGCCAAAATTTTGTTGAGAAGTTTTGCATCAATTTTTTTTTAATTTAATTTTATTTGTGAACATACTGTACAGAGGGGTTACAATTACATGGGCAGGATAATGCGTACTAGTTCTCTTTTTTTGATGAGTCCTTGCCTGGTTTTGGGATGAGGGTTATGATGGCTTCATAGAATGTGTTCGGTAGTGAACTTTCTCTTTCAATTTCATTGAAGAGTTGGAGGAGTACTGGTGTGAGCTCTGCTTTGAAGGCCTTGTAGAATTCTGCTGTAAAACCATCTGGTCCTGGACTTTTCTTAGCTGGGAGGTCTCTTATTGCTGTTTCTATTTCAATGCTTGATATGGGCCTGTTAAAATGGTTTAACTCATCTTGGTTTAGTTTTGGCATGTCAATATTTGCTAGGAAAAGGTCCATTTCTGCCAAGTTCTCAAACTTATTAGCATAAAGTTTTGAGAAGTATTCCCTTATAATGTTCTGAATTCTTGGTTGTTTCTGTGGTGATGTTTCCATTCTCATCTCTGAGTTTATTTATTTGGGTGTGTTCTCTTCTTTTTCTGATAATATTTGCTAAGGGTCTGTCAAATTTTGTTAATTTTTTCGAAGAACCAACTCTTTGTTTTGTTGATTCTTTCTATAGTTTTTTTGGATTCTAATTCATTTAATTCTGATTTAATTTTAATTATTTCTTTCCATCTACTAGATTGGGGTTTATCTTGCTCTTTTTCTTTTTTTTTCATTATTTATAGAATACTTTATTAGTTTCTGTAATCAAACCCACGTAGATAAGACCTTACATATTTAATACAGTGCGTTTACCCCTGTACAAATGGAAAAAAATTAAGTTTAACATTTCTAGACCAATATGGCTCTTGCTGCTCTTTTTCAAGGAGGTTCAGATGTCTCATTAAATTGTTGGTTTCAGATCTCTCCAATTTGTTGATGTAGGAACTCAGAGCTATAAACTTGCCCCTGAGTACTGCCTTTGCTGTGTCCCAGAGGAGCTGGTGATTTGTGTGCTCATTTTTGTTGAATATCATGAACATTTGAATTTCCTTTCTAATCTCTTCCATGACCCACTCGTGATTCAGCAGTGTGTTGTTCAGCCTCCATGTGTTACCGGACTTTCTTTGGTGGCTTTTGGTGTTGAGTTATAATTTTATTCCCTTGTGGTCAGAGAGAATGCAAGGTATAACTTCAATGTTTCTGAATTTAGACAAGTTTGTTTTGTGGCCTAAAATGTGGTCTATTTTAGAAAATGTTCCATGTGCTGCTGAGAAAAATGTGTATTCTGATGCTGCTGGGTGAAATATTCGGTAGATGTCTGTTAAATCTAGTTGATCTATGCAGTTGTTTAGATCTGTGGTTTCTCTGTTGAGTTTTTGCCGAGTTGATCTATCTAGTGGGGAGAGTGGTGTGTTAAAATCCCCAACAATTAATGTATTTGGATCTATGTGGGATTTGAGGGAAAGTAGTGCTTCTTGGATAAATTTGGGTGCTTCATTGTTTGGTGAATAGATACTTAGAATTGTAATATCCTCCTGAAGGAGAGATCCCTTAATTAGTATGTAGCAACCTTCTTTATCTCGTCTCACGAATTTTAATTTGAAGTCTATTTTATCTGATATTAGGATTGCAACTCCCGCGTGTTTATGGGGGCCGTTTGCTTGGTAGATTTTGTTCCAGCCTTTAACATTGAAAATGTGTTTGTTTTACAAGCAAGATGTGACTTCTGAAGGCAGCAGATAGAAGGATCTTGTTTTTAAATCCAACTAGACAGTCTATGTTGCTTAATTGGAGAGTTAAGTCCGTTAACATTAAGAGATAGGACTGAGAGGCTATTTGGGAGTTCCTGCCATATAGTCCACCTTCTTGGGGGCTGCAGCTACTGGGTTCTTCCTATGGTTCTTGGATTCTCAGTTTGGGTGCGGTTTCTTGGCCTTTATTGTGATCTTGTTGGTGTTCTATGTGTAGGACATCTTTAAGAATCTTTTGTAAGGCTAGTTTGGTGAAGATATATTGTTTCAATTTTTCTTTGCTATGGAAGGTTTTTATTTGGCCTTCAGTTATGAAGGAGAGTTTAGCTGGGTACAGTATTCTTGGTTTATAGTTGTTTGTTTTTAGGGCATGGCATACATCATTCCAGGCTCTTCTTGCTTTGATTGTCTCTGCTGAGAAATCTGAGGTGATTCTAATTGGTTTCTCTTAATAGGTGATTAATCTTTTCTCCTTGACAGCTTTAAGGATCTTTTCCTTGGTCTGAATTGATCCTGTGTGGATTATAATGTGACGGTGGGATGTCCTATTCTGGTCTGGTCTATTTGGGGTTTTAAAAATTTCTTGTATCTGAATAGGCCTATCTTTTTGCATGTTTGGGAAGTTCTCTGCTAGGATCCTGTTAAACAAATTTCCTAGACCATTAACTTCTGTTTCTAGGTGCTCCTCTACACCCATTACCCTCAGATTGGGCCTTCTGATGGTATCTTCCAAGTGTTGGATAGATCTATCATATTTCTTGGACTTGTCTTGGATGGTTGTATGTTCTTTCAGGGATACAGGGATACAGGTGGACCCATTGCAACAATGAGAAGTACAAGTCGTTACATGGAAAACGAACTTTACAACTTTGGTGGGGGGGGGAGGATTGGGTGAGGGGGTGGGGAGAGGATGGGAAGGGATGGGAAGGGGAAACAAAGGAGGAGACTACAATGCTTGACAAGAAATGTACTCATTATCTTGCCCATGTAATTGTAACCCCTCTGTACAGTATTTTCACAAAATAAAAAAATTAAAAAAAAAAAACTTAAGAACTCCAGACAAGATAACTCTTGGCCATAAGAGAATGAAAGTCCTACATGTATGGGAAAAGAGCATACAAAAGGAAGCAAAATACTGCTGTCCACAAGCTAACAGCTTTGGAAGCAAATTTTATTTCTTCCTATTTGTTTCTTAAATCATTCCACCAGCACATTTCCTTGCTATAGTTCTGTGTTGGGGATATTGTGTTTAGGAAAAATATTTCTAGTGTTAGGATGTAGGTAAAAATATTATTTAAAGTACACTCAACTTATACTCAGTTTTTCTGAAATCTATGTATACCAGTATCTTACATGTTGTATTTCCTAATTAATACTTGTATTGCACAGATCAACAACAATGTGATCTTACCATCAGAACATTTATAATCTCATTGCCAAGATAATTCATATATAACAAAAAACTCTTTGAATACTTACTAAAATAGTCAAAAGATAACAATTCCTTAGGGAGAATTCAGTGTCATCTCAATCTGTAAATATTGACTAGAAAAATAATTATGAAGATTAAAGGTACAGTAATGCTCTCTCTACAATTCACTTTCCTTTGCCCTGAAAGTTGTTATTGAACTTACTCTATGATAATTCTAACACCAGCTTTTATGCATATATTTTGGTGTATGTTTGTGAGAATATGTGCAAATGTGTATGTGTATATTCACATATGTACATATATACTAAAAGCTTCATTATTAAAAATATTTTTTTTCTTTTCAGCTTCATGGTGGATCCTGAACAACAATTAGATGTTCCTAGGCATTTTCTTTATAGTTCCCAGTGCAAACAAGTGGTATAATCAAAACTGTCAATTAGAAAATTGTTTGTGGTTGTTGATCTACTGTATACTTTTATTTGGTATATATACTGCAAGTGTATTCTTCAAAAGTATAAGCTATGTGAGTTTTAGCTTAATTTTCAAAGCTCACTACACTTCTCTAAATATTTGATGCTAATTGCTTTGCTGCACTGTAATCAACCTAAAATAATGTAGTGGCAAAATTCTAAATGTGAAGAGTTGTGTATGTAACATTACAAAACTGTGAAATTATGATAAAAAATTACTTAAAATTGAAACTTTTAGAGTACTATGTCATAGGACATCTTTAGTTGAGTGTTATATGTAATAAAGGGTTAAACCAATTAAACATTTTTCCTTAATGTCTATTCTACTTTAGTTACATGATCTCATGTCTATTCTGTTACCTTACTTTAAAAATTATTACACAGGCATAAAATCCATCTGTGGTTATCAGCTTTCTATCTGTCAGATAAAACTGGTTTTTCTCAAGTGAACAATTTTGTGATGTGAGAGTACTATTTAGTAATATTATTCCTATACCATTGATTAGCATTACAATTCTCTTTATGCAAGTAAAACATTATCAAGCAAAGAAAAAGTTTTACTTTGAAGAAATCTGATTCAAATTTTAGGCATATGCTTTTGGTGTATTATCAGACAGTTGACTTTTCTTATAGAAAGTGTTAAATTCTTTAGTAAGAATTTATAAATATATAGTACTTGAAAATTTTAACCCAAATAAATAAAGAGGTAATACAAAACAAACACAAAACCTCAGGGGAAAAGATATATATTCTCTAATTTCTACATGGAAATGATTACAAGTGACATAAAACTGCATACTTTACTCTTCTTTGCAAATATTTTAATAAACATTTCTTTTGGCTATAAACACTGTTAAGGAAAATACATACAGAAATGTTCCCCATTATTCTCTAGTCCAAATTCCTTTGAGAGGATGGCCCTTCAAAGAGGAGAATTGTAAAGTTTTCTTTAATGTGTAAACAATGTGAAAGGAAAAGGAAGACTGAAATAAAATTTTACTTCATAAATATAAAATTTGGCCTAAAGTATTTTCTAACTTTTTCAGTTATGGAACGTTGACTTTTACTGAACACCTTTCTATGTCTTCAGACCTTATTCAGCTTCAATAAAAAAAAGAGTATTTCATAGCTTCTGTAGCAATATTTCACACACACAAACACACAGAAAATGTGTGTATATGTGTGCATATGTCTTTGTTCAACTCTGAAGATGACAAGAACTATAAAACAGCACCTGGCTCAACTCTTTTAATATTTACAAAGCAAAGAACAATAATGGAGTTGTACAGTGATTATTTAAACAAGTTATACATGTGTACAAAGGCAAGTAGGTAACAAAACAGTCTTTACAGTCTCAATCTGATTAAACATAGTAAGAATGGCTCAAAAGACTGAAACCTAAGTGGGTTTTTTTTTTACAGAGTTTTCTTGAAAATGTTGGCTATAAATTTATTTTAAAAATAAAATTATACAAGTCTTTTTTCAAAAACATAAATTAGAACATACTAAATATTGTATTAGTTGGCCCACTTCAGTGTCCAACTAGAAAAGTATATGAAGTCTAGGTAGTTTCCAAAATAGTTTTATGGTAGAGTAACTGGAAAGAGCTTCTGGCTGATAACTGTGCTAAATGGAAAAGCTCTCTAGACTGAATACTGGAAAAAATTGGAATTAGACTGAATATTGGAATTATTCTAACAAAATTTTAAAACTAGAATCAAAAGGACTTGAGAATAGGCAAATATAAAAGCAAAACAATTTATTCTATGGTAATTCTGACACCAGCTATTATACATATATTTTTGTGTATGTTTGTAAGAGTGTGTAAATGTGTATGTGTGTGCATTTTCACATATATACATATATACTGAAATCTATGTTATACAAGGAAAATAGTAGGGACAAAACACAAATTTTTAAAAAAGGACCCTAAATATCTCATTTTAAAATAAGCAATAAATTTATGGTTAATGAAAAGATTTTCTTTCTTAAAAAAAAAATCCTCTCTCTGCAGAACCAAGTACTGAAAAACCAAGTACTAAAAGTACTACAAAGTACTAAAAAGTACTAAAAGACCAAGAAGGGAAATCTACCATGGACTAAAAGTGAAATCTGGAAAACTAACTCCCAAACCAGTGAAGAAAAAGGTACTGGCTTTAGGCGTTCACATTCAGTGAAAGGTAAACTTTCTGCCTACTGATGACCTTGAATGCCTTGCCAGTAGACCCAGGGATCTGAAAGAAGTAGAGACTTTATACTTACCTTTCTATCAGCAATTTTTACATTCTTCTGGAAGTAACTTCATTTTTTTTTAGATAACAGTATCATCCAGAGTGAAAAATATAGACTTGTATCAAATTTCTAGGAAATAAAAGTTTGAACCCCCAAATTCCTTATCCATATGTTCTTGTTATTAATTATAGAGCTGAAACTTAATACACCTCAGTTATTTTCAAATGCCAACATTTTCCCTCTTTTGGAACTAAAAATATTTTTATTTTGCAATTGTTCAACTTCCACTATTTATATAATCTGATTAGTGATGTAAGTAGCAATTATTTAAACTTCAGGTTCATTCACTACTATTGTTTTCCAATTGTCAAATTCTGCTAGTAGCTATGAATCTAAGACAATGTTATTATTTGAAACCTAGAAGCCAATCATATATTTCAAAATAAATATCTTAACAATTCTTCTGTTACTGATAACTATTGAACATCCTGAATTATTCTAAGCCGCTGGAGTGATCGTAATGATCTGTTGAAGTGCTGGTATAAAATTAGTGGGAAAAAGAACAAAAGCAATTTTAAAAGCAACGAGAAATTATGTACCAGATATACATCGTAGCAAATACTTTATATTTGAGAATCTTTACAGCTTACATTTCCATTCCATTATTACAAGTGATGAAAAAGAAAAACTTGCAAGTAGCATGCAAATAATAAATTCACAGTCTTCCCACTTCACTAACCAAATTCCTACTTTCCAGTGTTACTTCCCAATTTTTGCAGGAAACTGCCTGCAAAGCTGAAACTGATTAGAAAATTCTTTATAGTTTAAAATATTTTTCTCATTTTAGGAGAAGCCAAATAGCCAACCATCAAAATTAAAAATAAATTGAATTGTCACAGTCCATTACAGTTATTGTTATTAGATCCACTTCATTTGCAGGTGTCCAAAATATAAAACGAATAATTCTTTATCTTCAAATTCATCTGTTCTTAAAATGCTACTTAAAACTTTGGTTGTTTTCCTGTAATATAGAAGAGAGTGAATTTATTGATTAAACTATCGTTTTTACAAATTGGTTTATCAAATCAAATACTGTGAACCTATGTAGTGTTTACAGAGCTAAATGCATGTTAGTATAGGAACTATTAAATTAGTTAATAAACTTTTTATTGTTTAGTGGTTCAATAAACATGTAATTCATTTTTAAATGCATCATACAGTGTTTTAAATTTGTTCTGTTTCTGTGATACCTAGTTTTATAAATGTTATTAACATATAAAGCAAAAGAAAACCTAATTGTAACATATGTTTGGGCAAAATAAAGTGTATCTCAAACTTTTATTTGCAAAATAAAGTGTTAAAAGTCTAAAAATAAAAAAGTGATTATATTCTTATATACATTCTCACAGACCATTCTCAATACAAAGAAGAGAAAAATTTTAAATATCATCAAGTACATTTTTCTCTTATTAAATATTCCTGAGAGGTATTATGAAAAATTTTAGTTGCTGATTTCATTCATTTTAACAAGAACTGGATAATGGTCTCTAAGTTCTTAGGAAGTTAAATTATGAAATAAATGTTAAATTTAAATAATACATAATTTATAAAAATTGTAACATGAAATAGATGCTATGGAATTCTGAAGTTTATAATTTCAAAAATAGGAGCTAGTACTCTATCTCAATTTCAGCAATTCTCAGTATAACAATGTGTCTCATCTCAATAAAATTCTAGTTGACTTTACCTAAATAGTGTTTATGAAAACTATTAAAAACTATAGCCAAGTGTTAGAACAGAAGAATAAAGAATAAAAACCATCATCTACTGCCAAGTGCTAGTGGCTCCTGACTACAATCCTAGCTACTCAGGTGGCTGAGATATGAGGATCACAGTTTGAAGCCAACCTGGGCAGGAAACACCATGAGACTACAAAAAGCTAGCAAGTGGGGCTATAGCTCAAGGGGCTGCAGCTCAAGTGACAGAGCACTAGCTTTGAGCAAAAACAACTCAGAGACAGCACCCAGACCCTGAGTACAAGCCCTAGGATCAGCATGCGCACGCGCGCACACACACACACACACACACAGAGAAAAATCATTTACTGAAGCCAGAGGTGTGGCTCATATGGTAGAGTTCCCACCTAGCAATGATGAGGCCCTGAGTTCAATCCTCAGTTCCATCAACAAAAAAATCACTTACTGAGTTCATAATGATAGAAATAGGCATCCTGCTAAATGTTCTCATATGCAAAAGATAATCATTTTTATTTGCAATTGCAAAATTGTGACACAAGAAGGCTAAGTGATTTGTTCATTTAGACCACAAATACACAAAATGGAGATACAATTTCATGCAAAACCTAAATCCTAAAAAATATCCTAACAAGTATATTTGTATGTATATTTTGATGGATTTGATTATTTGACACAGAAATATAGAAATATAGAAGGCAAATAGCAAGGATATGTTGAAGAAATAACTGGAATGGCATGCTTTAATGTATAAGATACTCAGATACTCAGACCTGCAATCCTAGCTATTTATAAGGCAGTGATTAGGAGGGTCATAGTTTGAGGTCAGCCTAGTCAGAAAATTCACTCAATTCCATTTCAACCAATATCTGGGTAGTGTCAAATGTACCTGTCATGCTAACTATGGTGGAAAGGATAAATAGCAGAACCACAGTACAAGAGAGCCTAGGTAAAAAGTGAAACTGAAAAATAACCAGAGCTAAAATGGCTGGAGGTATCGCTCAACTGATAGACTGCCTGAAAAAGCAAGGGTGAAGCCCTGAGTCCACATCCATATAC